GAGAAAGGCGGAGTTTCCAAACCGAAAAGAGTGGGCTTAGAGAGTGAGGAAGATCGGCTGCTATGGCCAGAATAGGAGAACTTTTGGGTCTCTGAATTGGATTTGGTCATTTGGAAACGACTGGGGTAGAGGAAAGGTGAATATGAGCTTGGGCTTTCAGGCACGAAGTTTGTTGGGCTTCAGGTCCTTTTAAATAAAAAAGAAAGAAAAGGTAAGTGGTTTATGGAAAGTCGGGTTTAATTTTATTTATTCTACTTTCAATAAAATCATGTATCACATACACAATATCATTATGTATTTAAATATTTCTATATTTATTTTTAAATATATATTTATAGAATTCATAAAACTTTATTTCATTATCATCAAATATCATCTCATTAAATTTATTTATATTCATTTTCACATCTCTCTTTAACAATAATTAAAATAAAATTGTATGCAAATGAGACATATTTGTGAGGGTCAGTTTTGAATCTTCACAAACCATATGAAATTAGTGAAAGTTTTATATGAACCTCACAACTGAATCATGTTTAGTGAAAGTAAAAATACATCTCTCATTAGAAATTTTTTTTAATGAAAGGTAGGGGTGGTCCTCACTACACAAGAGCTTCTAATGATGGTCAACACACAATCATCAATAAAATTCTCACTAAAACAAACTTATCATGTAGTGCTAACACTTGCAACACTTTTCTTTATTTTCAAACTATGACTTTCTACGAAAAATGCCGTATGTCAATTTTATTACTATGTTAAAGGCCACAAACATCACTCGTCGGTGCAGTTAGATTAGGTGTCTATCCTTTCGTAGTATTATTTATTTACATAAAAGAAAAATAAGAGAACAAAAAAAGAAAAATTGATATATGTAGATGTATATTTTACAAGGGTAGATGTTTTGAAGGTGTTATTTATAGGGTAAAAAATATAAATAGTCACTCAATTTTAGAGCTACTTCTAAACTGATCACTAAAGTATTAATTTTTTTTTAATTTAATCACTTAAGTGTAAGTTTTTTTTTCTCACTTAATTATTAATATCTAATAGTATATTGATGTGGCATTGCTACGTCAATTGCTAGGTGCCACGCGATACTACCATATCATCCGAAAAGTCACGTGATATTATTGATGTGATATTTATAAATTTAAAAAATAGATAAATTTTGGTCGTTTAACTTTTTAAGAATTTTATTTTGGTCACTCAATTTTGAAAATTCATAATTTAATCACAACAAATAAGTTCTCAAGTTTTAAAAAAAATGAAAAAAAAAACATTTGATATTTTTTATTGCATAAAATTAAATTATAAATTTTTTATTTTATTTTAATTATACTATTTAAATTTGAAAAATGGATGAATATTATTCCAATTACTAAAATTACTAAAATGGCATTGCTTCAAATATTTATGATTAAGTCCATTGAAATAAATTCAAATAAATATTCCATATTTCATAATGTCAAAAAGTATAATTACAATAAAAGTTCATAATTTTAATTTCATGCAATAAACTATTAAAGTATAGGCAACATAAATTTATTGTGATTATAACCTTGATACCATAAAATATTAAATTTATTAATATTTTGGTCTCTAACATTTGTAAAATTTATAATATTTTGGTTTTCATTGTCATTGTCACTATGAATTTATAATAAATTGATCACCATCGATTATGAAATTTAATATAGTAAATTATTTTATTATTTATGTTACCTATTGAAATATATTGAAATAATGCTCAAATAAGTCATTGAATTTTTAAAAAAATAGTAACAAACTTTTAAATTTTTAAATTATTTATTTTTTATAATTATATTATTAAAAATTTAAAAGATAGATAATATTAATCAATTGCCAAATTTACCAAAATATTATTATTTCAAATATTTGTCATATAGTTAATTCAAATAAATTCAAGCATTTATTTTAATTTTTGACATTTTAGTCACTAGGGTTTATGAAATTATTAATATTTGAATGTCATCCTTAGCATAGTTTTATAACAATTTAATCACCAATAGTTTGTAAAATTTAATATAATAAAGTTTTTTATTTTATTTTTATCTATATTTCTTATAATATTTTATTACATGAAATTAAAACACATGAAATTAAAACTAAATATTGACATTATGAAATATTAAATACTTATTTGATTTTTACTTGAATGAGTTAAATAATAAAGATTTGAAGTAACATTATTTTAATAATTTTTACATGGATAAAATTCATTCATTTTTTAAATTTAAATGGTATAATTACACTAAAATAAAAAAAAATTATAATTTACTTATTTACAATAAAAATATCAAATACTTATTTTTATTTTTTTTATAAAATTTGAAGATTTCTTTGGTAGTAATTTTGTAAATTTTTAAAGGTTGTGTATCCAAAACAGAAAATTTTTAAAAAGTTAAAGTAAATGAAATTTATTTATTTATTTTCAAAATTTACAAATGTACGTCAATAATGTCACGTGACTTATCAAATTAAGTGGTAGTGATATGTGAAACCTAATAACTAATATGACATTGTCACGTTAGCAGCTATTAAACATTAATGGTTGAATGACAAAAAATATTTATTCAAATTTAAATAATTAAATTTAAAAAATAATATTTAAATAAGCATTTTAAAAGACGCTAAAATTGAGTGAATATTTATGTATATTATAAGATCAATGCGTTGCATGCATTTTACTCTTATTTAGAATAACGCATTACATGCTATTCATTCGGGCATATTTCTTATTCCTTTCACATTTCCTTCCATTCTTCTGTACTTATTGTTTTCATCATCATCAGTCTAATGGAAAAGCTAAAACACTTCAAAATCTTCCATTTCTTCTTTTTCTCAAATCAGGTAGCTTTTTTGTTCTTTTCTTTTCTTGAATTAACAATAATAATAATAATAATAATAATAACACCAATCTTTGATGATTTTTCAATGACAACGAGGATTCATCATCCTTGTCTATCGCTATCTCAAGTATAAATTCAATTTTCTTTTTCTTTTTTAATTTATTTTTTGATATTCAAAATAATAATAAAAACAATGGAGAAGCACAACACATTGAATGGATTAAGATCCAAACACCAATTGATTTTGGCTCTTACTCCTGATGGTATGTAAACACCTCATTTCATTTGAAGCGTGCATTTAAATTCCCAATTTTGATTTTATCGAGATTGTCGGGCTTTAAGCCTAATGTATGTTACTTTGATATGGATCTTGCCTCAACAAATATTTTATTTTATTTATTTGTTTATTCTTTAATAAAAACTAAATAAATAAATAAAAAAAGAAAGAAAAAAAAATCAAACAGAATTTTTTGAAAATTCTGTATAAGAATCGAGCAAAGAGGAATTTTTGAGATTTTTTCTTAACCTGGATGAAATAGGAAATCAAATAAAAAAAGGATCACAAAGCATCAAACTAGGGTTTTTGTCAAATTCATTTTACCTAAATTAAAAGATTTAAAAAAATCTTTGAAAATCTTTGACAATCAATGGAACACTAAAAATTTTCACTAAAAAATCCCTATAAATTGTTCTAAAGCAAAAAAAGAACAAGGATGGAGAAAAAGATTATACGAAAACTCTTGAGAAAAAAAAAAGAGGAAAATCATTCAAAAAAAATATACGATTTCTAGTAGTAGTTTTTTTTTTTTTTTTAAATTCTTTGCATAATCTGGATTTGTGAGGATTTATTAGTAAGCGACGTAGTTCAATCGCTTAACCGAGTCAACTTCAAGTATTTTATTTTATTTTTATTTGTTTAATTGTTTTATTTATTTATTTGTTTGATTGTTTATTATTCTTTAAATATATTTTTATAAAACTATATTTAAATAAAAGCTTACCAATAGATTAAAAGGCAATCATTTTTAAAAAAATAGAGTTTTACTAACATATTGCAAAACCTTATAACCTTTTTTTCATTTTAAAAAAATAAAAATAAAAGCCTTATTAACAAATTGGAGGGTCAATATTTTATTTCTAAAATTAGATTTTACCAACATATTGGAAAGTCTTATAATTTTTTTAAAAAATAAAGTTTTAAAAAATAATAAAATAATATTTTCTATATTTTTGCATAAAATCCTATCAACAGATTGAAAGATAATTTTCAACAGAAAAGTCTTACCAACAGATTTGAAGACATTTTTACTATAAATTTGATTTATAGATGTTTATTTCTAGAAGCAAAATTAAATGAATTCGATTATGAAACCTAAATATCCTTAAATTATTATCAATATGTTGAAGTAATTTAAGAAAAATTTTTAATATTAAATTATTTGATAAATTTTAAACATATTTTAAGATTTGGATACCTTGAAATCATATTGATATTATCTTTTGAATGAATATTATGAAGATGTTATAATATTTCTCATATATAATCGTACTTCTAAATTTAAATTTGATTTAAATTAAAATATAACATTAAAATATAAAAACAAGTGAATTTTGAAAATACAAAAACCAAAATCTCAAAATTTAAGTACCATAAATATTAATTGTTTTTTTTTATCAAACTCTGTGAAAATAAAATCGAAACAATAAATTTGGGACCAAGGGAAGAGTAACAAAAAATACATGTTTTATTCCATAATCATAAGGCTTAATATTGCATTTTTAAAGAAAAAATAAAAAAAAAAGGTTTTTACAGGAAAGAAAAAGATGCATTATTTTTTTGTTTAGATAATTAAAAGCGAAATTGAAAAAAAAAATGACAGGAACGGATTATGGAAAGAAAAAAAAGTATATTATAATAAAAAATTTTCATTATATGCTTTCAAATGGTAAGGTTTTTATGTTTTTTTTTTTTTTTTAAAGAGTATAATATTGTTGGCATAATTTGATATTTTTAAAAAAGTAAAAGAGGGGCCCAGAACAAGAAAAGAAGAGAAAACGAAAAAGCACCCGAACTAGTATTTGTTTGTATCCAGCATATTTACATTGGATTAAAATGAATGAAAGAATCGATTGAAGTGAATTGACTAATGTTTGGCTTTCCTCTTTGGTGTGTCTCTCAGCCTCAAGTTAAGAATTGTTTAAGAAATGTCACCACCATCAAAAACTGAAGCCCCTTTCCTCTCAATCCTACTAATTACACTAACGTCAACAGTCACTTCTTATTACTCTTCCTCCCCACCGCCTTCTCAATCTTCCCAGTGGCATTCGGCACGCGCCACTTACTACGCAGCGTCTGATCCTCGGGACGCGGTGGGTGGGGCGTGCGGGTATGGGGACCTGGTGAAAGCTGGGTACGGCATGGCGACGGTGGGTTTAAGTGAGGCTCTGTTTGCGCGTGGTCAGATCTGCGGCGCGTGCTTCGAGCTGAGGTGCGTGGACGACTTGCGGTGGTGCGTACCAGGGACCTCTATCATTGTGACAGCCACCAATTTCTGTGCTCCGAATTATGGGTTTACGGCGGAGGGCGGAGGCCATTGTAATCCTCCCAACAAGCACTTTGTGCTTCCCATTGAGGCATTTGAGAAGATCGCCATTTGGAAGGCTGGCAACATGCCTGTTCAGTATCGAAGGTGCTAACTCTTCCTATCTTTCATTTAAGCTGCTTTTTCAACTTTACCTACGCCTCAATTTAGTAGCATTTCGAATTTACCCTATTAAGAATATTTGATTTTGATGAAAACGGAAGTTAGTAATTACCCTTAATGGAACTAAATAATGCCTATTTTATTTTTTAAGGTTAACTTTTTTTTTTTTAATAAATAACCAGAGGATAGAGAAGGGATTGCCGGAGATGAGATTTGAACTCTAGGATTTGAATTCTAGACTTGTTGAATGCAAGCAGCTCTTAAAGATGACCATATAAACCAATTAATATGGGCTCTCAGTTTTATGAAGGTTAACTTTATGTGCCAACCGTTTGTTCTACTAACAACAATTTAAAAAAAAAAAAAAAGAATCAAAGGCAATGTTGAAAGAGATAATTAAGTTCAATTCTGAAACGAAAATTCTGCTAAACATAAACCCTAAAATTTTTAAGCTAAACTAGATTGGTACCATTTGCAAACTGGATTGGATTCCTTGTTCAAACCATTGGTTTATTACAAATGAAACAAAATCAAATCATGAGCTAAAGCTGCAATTTAGGCAAAGCACATGGGTGGGAAGTGGGAACATTGAGTTTTCACTAATGTCAAAGTGTTTCTGAGTGACTAGTTCATAAACTACAATGTAATATATACCCTAAAACAGGGAATTATTTTGGGTTTATTGAGACAAACTGAAAGCTATCTTATGGACATAACTCCTAAATTCTGCCTTTTAGGGTGTTGTATGTTGTCTGATTGATTTATTGTTTGAAAATGTTTAAATACCTATCTTCTCATCTTAAATGGATTATTTCTTGCTTGGTTTAAACAGGATCAAGTGCAGAAAAGAAGGAGGTGTTCGATTTACAATTGATGGTTCAGGTATCTTTGTTTCAGTTCTCATCAGCAATGTTGCTGGTGCTGGAGATATAATTGCAGTCAAGATTAAGGGTTCAAAAACCGGGTGGCTGCAAATGGGTCGGAATTGGGGACAAAATTGGCATATTAATTCTGATCTAAAGAATCAGCCACTGTCTTTTGAGGTCACCAGTAGTGATGGGCTTACCGTTACATCATACAATGTTGCTCCTAAGAATTGGAACTTTGGGCAGACTTTCCAAGGAAAGCAATTCGAATCATAAGATCAGCATCAACGAGACTATTCTTTTTCTTTTCTTTCCTTCTCTTTCTTCAATTCTGTTTTCTGTTGTTTGGTACTGATTGGGGTGAAAAGTGGTAGCTTTTTTATTGAGAAGAAAGTAGTTGGCTGATATTTAAGTGATGTAATTGTTTCATGAATGCCAAGAATGTAATGGAACAGATCCCTGAAATGTCATGGCTAAAGTGGATTGGTTTTCTTTATGCCATTTTGGCCACCTCAAGGTTCTAAGGCAAGTGAATGTGATCGTTGATTAGAGGACAAATAAGTAACAAGACTTCTGGAGAAGAATGAAGGATTGGCTGCTACTGTATAGAAAAAATATAAGGGCTTACGTGCAAAAAAAAAAAAAAAAAGAAATAGCTGAAGGGTTTTTTAGTATTTTAATCAATAAAATTTTAAATTTGTCCAAGTAGGGCGTAAATCATCCTATTGTAGTCATGGCTATGTCTGTTTAAACTCAGGCACGATTCAGCTTGTTAAGGTCACAATCCAAGTTCCAGTTTTTATACTCTCAACTTATCCAATCCTTTTTTTTTTTTGTTATAATTTGAAGGATCAAGTTATCCAATCATTAATAAAACCTAAACAAATGGTTCCGAGCCAAAAGCAACATTGAAGGAACAATGCCTATAGACTATTGACCCTTATGATATAAGACAAATTGAGTTATCAATTGGCTTGAAGGCTTGATGATTGGTTGATTCTTTTAGATAGACCTGCAAATTGGGCGGGTTGGATTCAATTTGGTTGGGTCAATTTAGGGATTATTTCAGCTTTTAAGAAATCCAATTAATTTTAAGTTGAACCATTTTGGTTTTGGATTGTTTTGGTTCCGGGGATTTTGGCTTCAGGCCAATTAAATTTCAACTTATTTCAGTTTTGGTATTTCGGATTTGATACCCGAATTATTTGGTTTGGATCATTCAGATTCAGGTCATTTAGGTTTAATTTATTAATTTTTAGAATCAAATTAGATTAATTTTAAATATTTTATTTGATTGAATTCAAGTAAGATTTTATCATAATTTTATTTAAAGATAAAAGTTAAACAATAATATTTTAAAAATAATAAATTAAAGTTAATTTTTATATAAATGCTTTTATTCAAACATAATTATTGATTTAATAGTTATAATTCTTTCGTTAAGTAACTATTGCAAACAAATGTGTTTTATTTAAACTATGATTAATTAATACGAACATTAAATCTATTCATCAATACACAACATTCTAAACTACAAACAATCTTTTAATCGTTAGGAATGTTGGTGCTTAGTTTTTAACTTTTCACACAAATAAATATTTTGCATACAAGAAAATATATTTCGATTTAAACATTCAATTATTATATATAATTTAAAATTCTTACGAAGTTGATAATGTCCGTTGATTAAAACCTTAACTCGTAGTGTTAAAATTAAAGATATAACATACTAATACTTATTCTTCTATAAGAGATTTCTAACAAGTTTAACATTATTATGATCATAACCTATTTATAAACATTTACAAGAGAGATCAATTTTTCTTATTGAAATGACACCACTTCTATGTTTATATAGGTAAAGTGTTCTTGATGTCTCCATTGTTTTAGACATTTACAAAACAACTCCATTAAGAGTATAGAACTTAGAACTTATATTCTTCACGTAATAAATCGCACTAATCTTTTAAAATTTTAATGAGTTTTACTAGTGTTTAATAAACATATAACAACAACTTGTTTTTACCCATTAAAATTTGTAACTAGAGGTTATTGATTCAAAGTTGAGTTTTCATTATTTGGTGTCTACTAGTAAGGGTTTAAGCTCATTCCCCTAGTAGTACTACTAATTGAATATCTTGAGATTTAATTTTCTTTTATGTTAATTATCCTCAGTTGAAATTAAATATTTAATATGATTACTTCATATGCTAACATGTCAACACTGTTCATTTTGCATATCATTTATATTATCTAAACATTGTTGCCCCATTCTTGTCATTGTAAGAAATAGTTGGCATTCGTTGTAACCCAAACTCTATACACATTAATATAAATTTCAACCATTTTATTTTCACACTTTTATTCATGTTTAGTACAATTATATTTTTGGTACAATTGAAATTTTGAATAGATAAACCAAGCCATTTTAGTCCTTTTAAGATATTTAAACATCTTTTTGGTAACTTTTATTTAATAAGCTGTACTAAACTTATTAGCTTGTATAATTTACACACAATAAAATTATACCTAACTTCCATAACACTATGATGGCATTATTTTTATTCTTTTATTTCTTAAAAATTATAAAAAAACATTGTCCGTCCCATGTCATGTGAATATATATATATTCTTTTATTAAAAAATGTCAAATTTAATTATCAAGATATCATATATATTTCAATTAATTTACTATTTCATTTATCTTTTCACTATTTTGTTGGTCTTTTAGTAGAAAACCTCCAAATCCATCTTTAGTTAAAGATAATTAGCAAATATTCTATATTTTGATATTTCCTTTCATAAAAGTTCTAAAACTTTTATTTCAATCAATATGATAGTGTACGTCAATAAGTATTTTATCAACAACAATCACCCTCAAAATTATTTTCTTTTAGTAAACTTATGCTTCTATAGTCTTCTTTTGAGACTTTCGTGACAACTCATGGATACTTATGAATATATTTCATCATGGACACTATTAACCTTTTAATTACCATGAGCAAAACCATGTTATCATCCAAATAGGTCAAATAGCATTCATCTTGCTATTTTAAAATTTTCATATTCACAAAAAGTTCGAATCATTCATGGCTTTCGAAGTGAATATAATTTTATAATTTAACAAAATCTCAAAACTTTTAAATAAATCATAAAATGATAAATCATTTATACAAGCCACATTATCAAACAAAATTGCACAAATATCAAATTTATGCAAAAATCACTAAGAAAAATTGTGTATTATGTACAAATAAATAATTTTCACACTTACGGAGAGTAGGGATCATTTAAGAGGCATACCACCTTATCTATAGATAACACATTTAGTGGTCAATTTCAAGGCATAAGACTTTTTAAAAGCTAACATCATTATCAAGTTCATACATTAATGGTGCATATATCGGTTTAAGTTGGTTCCCTTGCCATAAAATTATAGAAACTCATGTACCACAAGTACTTGAGCACTTTTATTTTTCAATGTTATGCACATAAATACCATATATGCTAACCAAAAGATAATTTGAGTTTTCTTTCAAATAATCATCCATTTTCGTTTTCTTAATATATGGCTAACTGTGCATATGTTCTCTATGTCCAATTTTAGGTATATAAATGTTTCAATTTGTTGCCATATACAAAAATTAATAAAACATGTATTCAAGCCATGAAATGTTAAAATCCATGGAACCATAAAATGAATCATTGAGTGATCTTTGTTCATTCATTAAAATTATCTTAAAAGACTTGAAAAACTCAATATCCACTTTTAGCTTATATACATATAATATAAAAAAATATATATTTTATATTCTTGACATTGCCAAGATTTACATGACACCACAATTGAACATGACCTTTTTATATGCATTTCTATCATAATTTCATAGTATCTTCCTTGGAGATCTCTCACAAATGCTATATGCATGGTGGATATATTAAATATAAAATGCATTTCAAGTTGGATATATTTATGGCCATAATCATTATATTAATAATGCATGCACCTATTACCCAAATTATAAAAGATATAATCAATACTCTAAATAAATCTCATATGGGCAAAATTATAAAATGGCAAATATATATTAATACTTCTCTAGCTTTTTCTAATTAAGATATTATCTCATGGTTTTAATAAATTTAACCATATTCTCATAATTCTTTTATTTAACAATTGCCACAGTAAACATAAATCATGCTTATTCAAGAACTAAGATTTCAATGATGTGTTTTGAGCAAATATTAATTGCATGTTATTAACAAATTGTATTAATAATAAGAATACAGCTTAATTAATCAAATTCTCCATTATATAAACATTTCATTTGACTCAAAGCATGTTAATACATGCATGATTAGATAATATAAGTATAAAAATAAAATAGTAAATAAGCATCTAATTAATATATGTACTGATTAACCACAAATAATTAAAAATAAATTTATTGGGAGACTCCATTTCTATTCTCCACTATATAAACATTTCATTTAACTCAAAACATGTTAATACATGCATGATTAAACAATATAAGCAGAAAAAATAAAATAGTAAACAAATAATTAAAAATAAATTTATTGGGAGACTCCATTTTTGTCCCACTTCTGTCCACTTGTATTAGGAACAAAAATCCTAATCAATAATCTCAAATTTACTTAAAACTCATTTTCTTTTCCAAATTCTCATTAACATTGAACAAAAAAATTATTTATCATGTCTAAATCCATTTTTATCATATATATACAGAGCCCATTTCGGGTTATGGCTATTCTAAGCCAATCTCAATGAATCACATTATAACTTGATGCATAAACCTACTCTTGACTTATTATTCAATCTAAAAGTAACGACGATTTCCATGCATATATATATATATATATATATTTCAATTTTTCGAATCTCGTTTTCATGAAAATTATTGACTGATCTTAACTCTTACATTTGTGTTTACACAATTTCCTATCTTGACCTTTATATACATTAGGTTTATAATTAATTAAATTCAATTGATGAGCCAATTTCAATCAATATGTAGAGAATTATGGCATTTTAACCAATAATTAGAAATAGCATTTTGACCATATATATAAGTATCTACTACAATTGGCCAATTTTCTTACCAACAATAGTACATAAAATAAATTGCATCCTGATTTTGAATAAAATTAAAAAAAAAAAAACTTATCTGATATCACGATAGAGTATAAAAATAAAAAAAAATAAAATTTGATTTTAAAATGTAAATAAAGATAATTATATCTTTAAGATACAATAAAATTTCAAAACTTTTTTAAACAAAAATAGTCAAAATGATTTCGCATAAAAATTTACTTATAGCTAATAACCAAATATATTCTTTTGATGAATAATCATATCAATTTGTTTAAATAAATATAACTCTTTTATTATATAATTATTATAAATAAACAATTCTTTCCAAATTCTTTTGTTACATAATTATTTTAAAAAAATATTTTTTAAATATAATTATTCAAGTTATAAATAATTAATACAAATATTAAATCTACTCACCGATGCAAACCTGTTGGGTTTGACAGTTGCAGCCCTCTTCCTCCCTGCTTTAAGGTATTTACATTTCTGATAATTATTAAAAGATTCATAGGAAGGAAACTTTGTGAGCTGAGTGTCGATTTTTGCACACCAATAATCAACTAAGGTTCAAAACGACGATGAATAAAAGAATGGAAGCATGAAAGTATGTAAGGGAAGGGGCAATCCCTCTTCAGATCCATGACCACGAATCCCAAGTCACCACTCTGCCTCTTCCTCCTCCTGCCCTGGTCAAGTCTTTTCTTTTTATTTTTCTTTTATTACTATTGCTTTGCTAATTCTAAATCATTTCAGATCTTAGCTACACAAATCGGCTATCCGCCGTTTGTTAGCTCCTTTGATTAAGCCTTATTTTCGCAGCACACTTCCTCCCATTGTTGATACCATTATTAGTTGGTTCAACTACAATGGCCTCCCCCTTAAATTGTTCTTCTTTCCCAAAGCTTACTTGCTGGGAATTTGGTTTTTTATCGTTTAATTATTCTCAAATACCTAAAACCTTAGAACAAATTTTTTGTTGTTGAAGGTACAAGCCAACTGGAATTCTTTTTGACCATCTTTATGCCGAGCCTGAAAGGCATTGGAATCTCACTGTACGTCCCCTCATTATTATTATTATTGTTAGTGTCTACTTTTGTATTCCAGTTTGATTGTGAATATTTGCCCAACTACACCAATGCTGGATCAAAGCTTCTACACCTTAAATACAAGGATTATTAAATTACTCATGTTTTGTGAAACTTTATATGATTTAAACCTATCCCAACACAATCAGCATTAAAGAAAAAAAGGAGCGGGGAGATTGAAGAGATAGAGAGCTTTTTTTATTTTTTTTTCCGGGGGAATTTATAGAACAGAATGTTTTGTAGGATAGATGTTCGAATGTGCAGTCATTTCTTACTTTTATCCCATTAATTAATTATCTGGTTGGAGGTAAAATTTTGATCTGCCTGCCTATAGGTGCATTTTGGAGGTTATCCGGGAAATGTATTGATACCTTATGAAGGTGAAGATTCATAAAGTGGAGCTTTATAAGCACATTAAAGAGGTTGGAACAGATGTCCTAGAAATTGATAAGACTTCTTCTTTGGGAAATTTACTATTACTGATCAGTTTAAAGCTTAACAATTCTCCCAGGTACTAAATACTCGTGCATATGCTCCAACTTTTATAATTGTTCTAGGATTAGAATTATTTGACATTTTCTATATTCTATAGTTTTCCTTCTGTTTTAATAATAATATTTATTACGCATTCTAATTGTCTCATTTGTCTCTGCGGTTGTCAGATTATGCATGTCAATGAGTTATGAACAGTTTTTAAGCTCCTCCTTGTACTGATCCTGTATCCCTTCTTTGCTCTCTTTACAACAAAAACAAACTAAGTTTATATCTCATAGCTTTAGAGTTGACTGTATAAAAGGCTAAAAATAAGAATCATGTTAGGTCCTAATTTTGAATAATTTTTCTGTCTTGCCTTTTCTTGTTCCTTTGTCCTCTTCATTTTTGAGCATTTGTTGCTAATCAAAATGGGAGGAGATAAAAGGAACCATTGTTTTGAACTTCTTGCCTAGGTGCTTCGTTTGCTTCCCATAATTTCCATTAAAACCTTGATGTCTAGGAAGGTCGTTTCAAAGCTAGCTATATAGTCTTTTAAGCTTATAAAGGTTTGTAATCTATTCAATCAAGGTCTTCAATCATTTTTGTTATTCTAGCATGTAGCTATTTACAAGGATTGTTGAAACTGTGTTGCTCAGTGTCAGTCATTTCAATAATTAGAATTAACCATTTAGTGGAAAATTTGGTATCCTCCTCTATTAACCTTAAAGCTGTAATATTGGCCTGCAAGTTCTCCTTGTTGATAGTTCACGGCCTTTTTGTCATGTACTAAGTATCTAGAAATTTGATGTTATATATGACATAAAAATGCCAGATATGAGGAAGTTGAACCGATCATTTGAAGTGTTTTTATTGTAGAAGATAAGAAATAAATAGCCCAAGGGTGATGCTAAACATTAATAAGGTAATTGAGGGATTAGCTTACTTATGAATTTATTTTGTTATTCTTTTGGTATCTAAAGAGCTATTTGTAATAATAGATCAAGGAATATATTTGGTTTTTTACATTTATATTAGGGTTTAGTATCTTAATGTTGGTTTTCTTTATCTTATTAGGTTTTGTTTTAAAGTCAAGTTTATTAGTTTTGTATTAAGAGTCTTTGACATACATACATACATATATATATATATATTTATATTGAAATCTTACCTACGAGTTCTGGTTCTTCTAGAGTTAGGGTTAGTTGCAGACTAGTGTCAATATAGCTGTACACACAAATTTCATGTCAAAAATATGATAAGGAAAATTGAAGACCAATAATAAATTTATTTATTAGACTTGTGGAAATTAAGATTACTAAAAATTCTTGTTACAGAGAAAATCTTCGAATTTTTTTCTTTAGCAAAAATCCACTTTGAGGGTCAGACATTCTTGTTCTTGAATGCTTTAAGGGTCTTTGAGACTTGTTCTTGAATGCTTCAAGGGTCTTGTTGATTTGATCTTGAACAAATGAAATCGATCTCCTTCCTTTCGAGGGAATAATAACGAAAAGCAATATCTTGACAATTCTTGGAACGTAAATGCTTTGTTCTTCAAGTTCTTCAAAATTTCTTCAATTCTTTAGAGCTTGCTTCTTGAGACTTTGGGTCTTCAAGATCTTCTTTTTCTTTTCAGAATTATGAATTATGAATATGGTTAGAGGAGGCATTGTATTTATAGTGCTAGCCTACCATATAAGAGAGTTTTAAGAAAACTCAACCTCTTTGATTTTATTTTTAAACAACTATAGTTTAATTAGAGATAAAAACTGATGACTCATTGGTGAAATCTAGTTGGTTAGATTAAGTGTTCTATATGTAATTGACAATTAATCATAAAATTAATTAATTTATTATATGATGAAATTAAATAATATCATTAATCCACATGACGATAAATGATTTGTCATTTAAAAATTCTTTAATTAATTAATTAAAAAAATTATTGGACATGTGGCACTTCGTTATTGGATAAAAATTTTCTCTTCTACAAATGCCCGTTTAAGACTTGGTCACACATTATTTTTCTTGCAACAAGTGAGCAAGTCTTGAACTTTAATTTGCTTTGGCACCAACTTTTGCATACACTTTGCACTTGGAGTAGAATTTGAAGTCCAATAACCTTGATTCACTATGAAGAGGTCAAATTATAATTCTAATGTCGTTGAAAAAAAAAATTATAAATCCAATTTGACCTTGGCTTGTTTTTACCAAAATTGGATTATAAAGGTTATTAGAATTATAGTGCTAGAGACATATGCATTCCCTCCAATTAAGAATTAAGAATATGACTCGACTTTTTATGAGCTATGCTAGCTAGCCAATAAACTATTATAATCACCAAATCTCTCTTGGAAAGTGGTGTATTCAAAGAAGAATTGGACTTTGACTTCTAGTCCATAACATATTTTCTAAGGCATGTACTCTTAAGTTGTTTAGGAATAGGATTGTGTTTATATTAAAGCAAAGCTTGATTGTTGGTTTTCATATAAAGCCTTCAAATGCACAAATCAAGTAATAAAGTGGAGTATTTCGAGTATCATTTCTTCAGGAATTATAGAAAAAATGTTGGGTTGCTCATAATTACCAAATGCGAAAGGCTAGGATCTTATATTAAACAAATGAATATTTAGGGTTTGGGGGTTATAGGGATAGGTAATGTATGGTAAGGTTCTTAACTTCATCATCACTTTGAAAGTAAAAGATTAATGCCAACAACTAATCCTAAGCAAAGAATTAAAAGATTTCAAAGTAAAAGAATAAAAGATTGTAAACAAGAAATCCTTAAGAATGTCGAATTGATTTTGAAGAAGTAAAGATTGCACGAAAGAAATTAAAGAACAAGAAAATGTAATTTAGCTGAATCTTGCAAAGAAAATAAAGAAACTTGGATCAATCTTGGAAAAAAAAATGCTTTGTTGAATAGTAAAGAAAACAAGAAACAAGATTTGAATACTTTAAAAACAAAAAAAAAAAGAAAGATCTTGAATGAAACATTTCTTGATTGAAAAGAGTTTAAAGAGCAAGTTATCAGCTAAGCCAATAACTTAACTAAAAGAAACAAAAAACTTAAAAGAAATTTGGAAACTGAAAGAAAGAAGAGAAAAGAAGAGTGGGATGATGGAATGAGAGAAATGACCTCCCTATTTATAGGGTGGGATTCAGCCAAGGGGGGAAGATTACAAGTGATTTATTCAAATTCAAATTCCTTAGAGTAGGCTTAATCTTTATTTTCCAAAGAGGCATGGTTGCATGAAACTCTCTCCCTTGGATAGGCTTGGCTGAATGGGGTTTTGGTGGAGTAATCTTGGCCCTTCATCACATCCCTAGTCTTGATCAACTTCCTCCTTTAGGTTTGGCTAGTATAGGATTCAAGAGCTTAGAATTTGAATTTTATCCATCTTATGAAGAGATAAACTTTTCTTCTAAGTAAAACTATTCAAGACTGAGTCAAGTATAATGATGAACTTCATTCTCCTCTTGGCCGAATGGATTGAGCTTAGAGAGTCCAAATTCTTGCAAATTTTCCTTCTCCTTTGCATGGCCGAATGTACTAAAGTTCTTGTGCAAGTCATTCTCTTCATGGCTAAGCAAAGAAAGCGTACTTATCTTGAAATTTGTCGAATATGAAGAACTCCAAATGGCCTTGGAGATACTTGAATATGGACCAGTGGTGGGCGGTAGTGATCTTGTATGGTTGGGTCGAATGTAAGCTTTACATGGTTATATGCATGGCTTATATGAAAATAAGTCTTGAACTTGAGAAACCTAAAGCTATAAAAACAACATGAAAAGCACCAAAAATCATCCAAAATTTTAAATTTTAGTACCATTTTGACATGTAAAATCTCTATATATTTTGGTGCTATCAAAACCGCTCTTGCTAATTTCCTCCATCAATATCAAAATAATCTCCAGGATTTTATGCAAGATTGCCGATACTCATCGTAATTCACCAGGTAAAGTTCTTGATTGCCATTTATGTTATTTATATATATTTATGTATATATTTATGTATATATTTTGCCTAGGAAAATTCTCTAAGCTAGGTTAAAATTGTTAAAGTAATAAATTTTTTTAATGCTTTAATTTCTTTATCTTGTAAAAAAATCAAGCATGCAACACATACATCCAATGCTATTGACACCGTTTCATTTCCTTATCTTGCTTGTAAAGAGTATCATCCTTTATAAACCATGATGCAACACATTAAAGTCTCAAGATGTATTATAGGCACTTTGCCACTTGTTTTTTTCTTAATTTGTGCCACCACTTTCTTCATTGCATTCTTTGCCAATTCTTTTATGTCAATTAATTCATCATTGTTTCTATGGAATTGATTAGCCAAAGCGCATCCCATATAATCCATCCCCACCGATTTTTCATCTTGTAAAATCATGCAACACAATCACGGGGCAACACCTTGAAATCCCATGCATGTCTTTTTTTTTTTTTCACACAATATCTTGGCATTGCAAACAGTTACGCAAGCTTTTTCTACTAGTAGGTCCAAGCATCTACTACTATTTGGTTTTGGTGCAATTCCAAAACTTGCTACACCATTTTATCACAGGCTTGCTACTGTTGGAAAGTGAGAAACAATGTAGTTGATTTTTTTTTTTTTGACAATGCAATAAAAGAAGAAATTTTTAGTGAGTTCAAGGAAAAGGTCTTGCTATTCTTTCAAGTGTTCACTATTTTTTTTCATCTGCCTTGCTTTTTTTTTCTTTTTGCACTTTCTTGCTTTATCAACAACAATATCCTTTATCTTTCTTCATTCTTTTAGCTAAAAAAAAAAATATGATTTTGAATCTTTCTTTGCTTCTTTGAACATATTGCAATTCAATCAGTCTAAGTAAAATTTCCTTCATGACAAAGACTTCTTGTTCGCTATTTCTAGGTACTTTCTCCAAAGAATTCTTAGCATTCTAATTTTTTAGTTCTTCAAAGAATTAATTGGTAGAAAAAATAAATAAGAGAAGAAAAATAATAGAAAAAAATTTTAGCTTTGAGGCATGATGAATACTTTCTTAAAGGTAA